AGGATAAATCTTTAAATGTTTAAAGGGCCCAGACCATATAGACTTCAACTTTCCAGGGAAAAGTTTTAATCTAGAATTGAACAAGATAGCAGGTTGTCCTTCAACTAATTCTCTCTGAAGGCACTTCCTATCGTGCCATTTATTAGTCTTTTCCTTGTACAATTCAACATTTTCATATGAGAACAACCTATGTTCCTCTAACTCATTGAGTTGAAGCATTCTAGCTTGGCCAACTTTAGATAGATCAATGTTCAGGTTTTTGAAAGCCCAAAAAGCCTTGTGCTCTAACTCAATAGGCAAGTGGCATGCCTTCCCATAGACAAGTCTGTAAGGAGACATGCCTAAAGGGGTCTTAAAGGTTGTTCTGTATGCCCATAAGGCATCATCCAAGTGCCTAGACCAATCCTTCCTAGAAGGATTAACAACTTTCTCTAAATCCTTTTTATTTTTCTATTTGAAATTTCAGCTTGCCCACTACATTGTGGGTGATAGGCAGTAGCAACTTTGTGTCTTACTCCATATTTTTCCATCATATTTTCAAAGATTTTGTTGCAAAAATGAGTTCCTCCATCGCTAATGATCACTCTAGGGGTACCATTTCTAGACAAAATATTTTTCACCAAAAATTTGGTCACCATCCTAGCATCATTAGTGGGAGTTTCTACTGCTTTTATCCATTTAGAAACTTAATCCAAATATGTATAGACTGCCAAAAGATTGAGGAAATGGTTCCATGAAGTCAATGTCCCATACATCAAAAATTTCAATTTCCAAGATGCTGGTAAGAGATATCTTTCCCCATGGAGATATTTCCAACTCTTTGGCATCTATCACATTTTCTTACCAGATCATGAGCATATTTAAAAAGAGAGGGTCGGAAATAACCTGATTGTAGAACTTTAGTTGCAGTTCTGGTTCCTCCAAAATGCCCCCATAAGGAGCTTTATGGCTGTCATACCCCAAATTTTTCTGCCCTTTATTTCTATAGTAAAAAATATTTTTAACATTGGTTTTTATAATATTCTTTGGTTCATTTTTACTAACATTTTAACTATAATTTATTTCGCTCATTTAAATATGTATAATAGTTTATTTCAAATTATTTGTATTTTAAATAGCAAATACTTGTTCAATTTCATATACTTTCAATTGGATTTTTATTTCAAATGAGTAATATAACATAATTGGTAAGGAATGAAGCTAGAAAGTATGAGGTCGTGGGTTCGAATCTCTTGTGTTGCACTTTTAACATTTTCTTTTTCTATTTTTTGTTACTAATTTTCTTTCCTTTTTTAGAGATCAGGATTTTGGCTTCTCTTGGTTTTTGGGTAACTTACTTGCCAAGTTTTAAAAACCTAATTCTAAGTCTATAAATAGGACTATTGTCCAACATAATTTTTCATTCGGAAATCCACAATTTCACAATCTCAATCTTTTTCTTACTTTTGGTTTATTCCAGGGTTTCTGTTGTATCCCAAAAATTTTCCTCTCACGTTTTCCAAGATATTCCCCTACATGGTTGGTCACAAACCATTGCCTAAGGAAAAAGAATTTTTTTGAATGGTGTCTTAATTACCTTTCGATTGGCATTGTAACAGTGTCCTTCGATTGGCACCTTATTAATATCTTTTGATTGACATCTGAACAAAGGCGTCTTCAATTGGCATTGTAACATCACTTCAATTGATCCAGACTGAAGGAAATCGAAGAGAGAAGAACAAAGTTTTCGAGCGGTCAACAAGATCCTTCGATTGGCCTATTTACAAGGCCTTTCGATTGGTATTTTAACAAGTACCTTTCGATTGGCATGGTAACATTGTCTTTCGGTTGACATCTACATAGTGTCCTTCGATTGGCATTTCAACAAGGCCTTCGATTAGTATGGACAAAGGCCCTTCGATTGGCATTCCAAAAGGTCCTTCGACTGGAACTTCAGAGTTTCCCTCAATGAGAACATCAGAATGAAATGACCTTCGAATGGCATTTAAGTGCAGATTTTGTCTTAATCTAAGATGCTCTGATGAAGGAAGTTCTAAACACTTCGAATCAGAACTTAGACTCATCACAAGGCCAAGGGCTAGTCGAAGTTATCTAATAGGGAATGTTCTGAATATATTCGAATTGGACTTTGAAGCTGGCAAAGAAAGCCATTTGAAGGAAGTAGCAATGACTCATTTGAAGAACATGCAAAGGTCCATTCGAAGAAGCATTCAGAGGGCCCATTTGAAGCATGCATAAGATGTCCATTCGAAGATGCATTCAGAAGACCCATTCGAAGGGTGCATAAGAAGTCCATTCGAAGAAGCATTCAGAGGGCCCATTAGAAGCATGCGTAAGAAGTCCATTTGAAGATGCATTCAGAAGACCCATTATAAGGGTGCATAAGAAGTCCATTCGAAGATGCATTCAGAAGGCCCATTCGAAGGGTGTATAAGAAGTTCATTCGAAGGAGGCAACTCATAGGCCAATCGAAGAGAAACGCTAGAGGATGTTCGAAGGGTCAAATGTCCAGGTTCATCCAAGATTTCCAAAGAGACATGAATGTTTCAAAAATGAATGCTTTTAATATGTCTGATTCTTGTCTCATGGCTTTAAAAGCTTGGTTAAATGGCTGTCTTTCGCCATTACTATGCGCCATCATACTCCTATAAATACAAGGGTAAAGACACAATACCAGGGGGGTGAAAAAGAGGAACACGCATACATACTTCCCACGAAGAGACTACACACACACATTGCTCAAAAATCCTAATAGCCTCCCAATCGAAACACCTTTTGCAAGTTCCTTCATCCAAGAGTCCACCCCAACTCCTAAGCAAACATCTCCACACCTAGAGCCACAGATCATACACCTCCGATTGGCAAGGGTTTGCAAAACCAAAATTTCACCTTCATGACATTTAAATACACATTGCATATATATTCTTGTTATTACTGATTATGCTGCATGTAAGCTAAAGTGCAGAGATGGGATCGTGCCATTGTTGGGGCACGATCTAAGTTGTTCCTTCGAATCTCAGGACAAAACAAACCCAGACCCAGACCGAACTCAGCAGATTCGAATTGAGGAAGGATTCGAATTAGGAGGAGATTCGAATCAGGGGGTAAAGTCCCCCCCGGATATCTAACATTTGTTTTGTTTTGCAGGAAACATCTTTTCAGAATCTTGTTCAGAGCTTCGAAGCAGCTCAGCTTCGAACTAGATCCAAGGTTCACAGATCGAAGGATGACATATCCAGATCGAACACCCCTAAAGTGCAGCCCTTCATGCACCTTCGATCAAGCCTCTTCACTGGATCGAAAGACAGCCCAAGCCTCTTTCGATCCAGGCCTCCAGAATCACACTTTTCTTGATTTACTGCCTGTTCCTTCGATTTCATCCTTGGTTTGACTATTTTATTTCTTTTTTTTAATCAACATAAAATCAATCAAAAAACCACAAAAACATTAGGCTAGTTTTTTCTATTAAATTAATTTTGTTAATTAATCTTTTAATTATCTTAACATTTTCTCAAAACTAAAATTAGGAAGATTTAGATCATTTTCCCAAAATAAAATAAAACAACCAAAAAATTTTATTCTTAGGATTATTAGACGTTATTTTCAAATTCGCGCACGTTTATTTTATAGTAACTGCCTACGGGTTTGTAACAGCTTAATTAGAACTTTTACACTTTACTGCTTTATTCCCTCAATTTTGGACATGTAAATAATCCCCTTCCACGAAGCCTTGAAATAGCGTAGGATTTACATTTCCCGCACTTTAAATTCATGTACATATATTAACTGCTTAGATGTATGCTAACTAGGATTGCATGACAAGATCTGAAAACAAACGGTAGAACACCTAAATGTTTAAAGATAAAATAACTGAATTGAACACACCATCACATGTACACCTCTAGGGTACTCCCACTTTGGTTACCTTCAATAAACAGTCATGAGGCAAGAATGCTTTAGCAAAGACTCATAAATCAAAAGATCATAGTTCCTCGATGACCCTATAAGTTGCCTTCTCGGTAAATGATCTAGTCCTAAAGAAAATTGCTAAAGCGTCTCCACAAGTTGCCTTCGTGACTGTAAACGTCCCTTCGATGTCCCTCAAACGTCCAACGATAAGGCTACCTACTCACTAATAGTAGGATATCACTGTCTAAAGGATAGGAGGAAAAGAATGACTCTTTTCGAGTATAAAAGTAGACAGTTGTTAGAAGTTTGCTCAAAACATTTTGCACTTACATAAATACTACTTTTCAAAAACAATTTTTAAAATATTTGCTTTGTTAACACTCTTGAGGACTGATACAAGAGTTAAACGCAAAGCAGATCGCTGCACTAAGGCATTTTTCAAACATTTTCAAAACACACAAAGCACAAAGGTATTTCAAAATGAGTAAACCTCTAAGAGCCCGTGGAAAACCACAGATGGAAAGGGTGTTAACACATTCTCTTTCCATAATCTACTCCCTTACTTAGAAATTCTCTAAAAGGTCTTTTTCTGTTCTTTTCACCCTTTCCTTAATTTGGATAAAAGAAAAGTCGAGACGACTCTTACTTATCGCACATTTGCGAACAAAAAACGCAAATCAGTATTAAACAGTCGGTTTTGCCACTGTATCACAGTTTCTGAATAGAAACTTTGAGAAACAGATCCAAAAATTTCCATAATCCTTTGACCCTTATGATCCAACACCCTCCCTTTATTTTCAAATTTTCAAATTTAATTTATTTATTTTGATATTGTATGATGTTTATTTGATGGTTGTATATTTGTTTTATTATTACTTTCTTATCAACAATTCCATAATATTTACATTCACTCCCACACTCACACATATGCACCTATTCTACTCACATACATATTGCATTCACTTAGGCCAATTTTCTAACAAAAGTTTTCCACACCTTACATAAATCTTTACTTACATATATAATTACTACCACATTGTTACAATAATATTTAACATTGTATACTAAAAAAACTATCATTCTCATGAGATATGATACGTCATTCTAACATCGTGCGCATATTTAAACAAGGCTATATCAATTTTCTAACCATCAAATCTCATAGTACAATCCGTACAGATTATATTCATCTCTTTTGCAGGAAAAATCACATAACAAATCCAACATTAACCTCACCTCACTATAAACAAAAACAACATCAATCACAAACCATGAAAACAAATTTAAATCCAACAATATTGACGATGTCTCATATTTGTGTAGAAGTTATTTTTACAGGAGAAAAGAACACATGAAAAGCAACATCAATTAACCAGCCCCAACAACAAGCAGAAACAACGGATGCAAAGAATTAATTGAGCTTGAATAGAAAAAGAAGAAGACCTAAATCGCAAAATCGTGGAACTCTAACCTAATTCCTGCCGTCGCTCACCTGCTCACGCTTCCGTTGCAGCCGACGAACCAGATCGACACCACCCTCTTCCATCTCCAACGACTACGACCGTCCATCTCAAATCCACCACCGCCATTTGCTTCTCACAAATCTGAAGTCGGTAATTTCGCGCACAACCTTTTGGTAACCCATTCATATTTAGTGATTGATTTATGCGAATATGGTGTTAATGTTATGAGTTGTACATGAATGCTTGAAACTAATATTGTATGGAGTTTTTTACAATCTGATTTTCGTTTGAGAAGAAGAAGAATATGAAGAGAGATTGAGAAAGTAAAGAGAGAAGGTCGTGGGGGCAAAGGACAAAATGGAGCACTCCAATTCCAGTTTTTTTATTTTATATTTATTTTGTTTTATATTTTTATTCTTTTTATGATTATTTATTTAATTAATAAATAATGAGTTAAATTAATATTTTGATTAAAATTGGGCTTTTAGGTCTTTAGTTGTTTTTTGGTTTACCTAAACATCTCTATTACATTTTTTTGTTCTATTTAATTAATTTCAAAGCCATTCATTTGTTTTAATTAATGAGTTAATTATTAAATTACTTAATATTCTATAAATATGTCAAAACTCACGCAACTCACTAGATACTTCATCTGCGAGCAACACATGATTAATATCTAGTCATGTGATAAGGGAGACTTTATCAGACTCCCTCCGTATTCTTAATATCCTCACCCCGCTCTATGTCCTACTGTATTCTTTAACAATGAAACATTTAAAATAGCTAACCAATGATCAAACCATTTTTCCGCTAACATAATAAAACTCAAGACATTTTCAGAAAAAGGATTAAATAAAATTACTTTCAAAATTAACTGCGAATTGCGTCTACAATCACTCAACATACAACCCATATAAGGTTCAAGGATAATTCATAATCAATGTTATGCAATCCTATAAAAAACACAATCAACACTACGAACTACGAATTGGGACTCTGATTCCTCGTAAGAGGATACGTAGGCATACGACTTAAAAACCGTGGCGCGTCCCCTAACTAAAAAATTAAAATCCTATTCCTAAACCTTAAACCTAAGCCCTAGTATCCTTGTGAACAAGGTAGATGAAGGGTGCCTAAAACCATTCCTTCGTCTAAAGTGAGTCAAGAATTTAGAATCTCTATATCGATTTAGGGTTATTGTGTTATATTCTCGTCCTTAGGATAAAAATTAATGGCGGAGACTCTATATTTTCAGCCGGTTATTACAATGAAAGGAAAATAAGATCTGTCGTGCCTCTGACTGGTCCAGACATCTCCTTAGCAATTGATCAACACATTTTTTGTAAAGAAAAGGCTCATCCCAGAAATAGCTTCTGGTCATGTGAAAGAACCTCTTCCTTTGCTAAGAGTTGAATTCAGGTGGAACATATCTACTAACCAAGTACTTAACAATGTCAGTGTACCAACGAGTAATGCTTGCGGTTATCAACAACAATTTTTCATCAGGAAATGACTCCTTGATTTCTCTAGTACTCTGATCTTGAATTTCCTCTGGAAATCTTGACAAATGATTAGCTACAAGGTTCTCAATTCCCTTCTTGTCTCTAATCTCTAGATCAAACTCTTGCAATAAGAGAAACCATTTAATAAGCCTCGACTTAGCATCCTTTTTAATGATAAGATATTTGATGGCAGCGTGATCCGTGTAAACAGTCACCTTGGTTCCCACTAAGTAGGATATGAATTTATCAAAGGCAAACACAACTGCTAGCATCTCCTTCTCATTAGTTGTGTAATTGACTTAAGCATCAATTAATGTTTTGCTAGCATAGTAGATGGTGGGAAACACCTTGTCGTGCCTCTGACCCAACACACCACCAGTTGCAAAGTCACTTGCATCACACATTAGCTTAAAAGGTTTAGTCTAGTCAGGGACTTTCACAATGGAGGCAGAAAGGAGAGCTTTCTTCAAGTGGTTCAAGGAGCTCAAACATTCTTGATTTAAGTTAAAAGGCACATCATGTTTTAACAATTGGCAAAGCGGTTTGGTGATTTTTGAGAAATCTTTAATGAATCTTCTATAGAAGCCAACATGCCCTAAAAAACTTCTAATGCCTTTAATGTTAACCGGTGGGGGAAACTTCTCAATGACTTCTATCTTAGCTTTATCTACTTCCAAACCTCTCTTTGAAATTTTATGTCCAAGAACAATTCCTTCCTTGACCATAAAATGACATTTCTCCTAATTCAACACCAAATTGTTCTCCTCACACCTTGCCAAAACTAAGTCCAAGTTGTCTAAACAATTTTGGAATGACTCCCCAAAAATAGAGAAGTCATCCATGAATACCTCCATGGAACTCTCAATAATGTCAGAAAAGATAATCATCATGCACCTTTGAAAAGTGGCTGGAGCATTGCACAAGCCAAAAGGCACCCTTATGAAGGCAAAGGTGCCATAAGGGCAGGTGAATGTTGTCTTTTCTTGGTGTTTAAGAGCTATGGCTATTTGGTTGTATCCCGATTACTCATTCAAGAAACAATAATACTTTTTCCATCCAATCTATCAAGCATCTGGTCAATGAAAGGTAAGGGAAAGTGATCCTTTCTAGTGGCTTTGTTGAGCTTTCTTTAGTCTATATAATTCCTCCATCCCGTGTCTATTCTTGTTAGGATTAGTTCATCTTTCTCATTGCTGACTACAGTCATGCCTCCCTTCTTTGGCACACATTGAATATGACTTACCCACACACTGTTATAAATGGGATAGATAATCCTAGCATCTAACCATTTAATAATCTCTTTCTTTACCACATCCTTCATGATGGAGTTAAGTCTTCTTTGACTCTAAATACTATTCTTAGCATTTTCCTCTAGTAAAATCATATGCATGCATATTGTCAGCCTGATCCCTTTTATGTTAGAAATTTTCCAAGCAATAGCCTTCCTATGTTTCTTCAGAATATCTAACAACTAGCCCTTTTGTTCTTCACTCAAGTCTGTTGCAATAATGACAAGCAACTTTTGTCCTGTCTCTAGAAAACCATATTGCAAGTTGGCAGGCAGTTGCTTCAGTTATAGATCAGGGGGAACTTCTATTGAAGGAGAACATTACTTCTTATCATCATCTAATATTTCTAGAACTTCCATGGCTTCATCTTTAATAGTGGGTTTACACATTGGTTCATACATGATACCCTCTCGTGAATCAACTTCTTTCTATAGCCTTCCCGGTGCTTGAGTCAAGACTTCGCTTGACTTTAGTAAACTCTTGTGAACTATTCTGTCCCAGCTGGAGATCATAGAGAAATCAACAACTTCGTCTCCAGGATATTGAAGTGAATTGAGTACATTGAAACCAATTTCTATGCATTCACCCTCATGGTGAGTTCTCCTTTCTCAACATCAATTAAAGTCCTTCCCGTAGCTAGGAAAGGTCTCCCCAACAAAATTGGAATGTCCTCATCAGCCTCAAAATTCATAATGATGAAGTCAGAAGGAAACACCAACTAATCAACCCTTACCAAGACGTCTTCTATCTTTTCTCGAGGGTAGAAAATACTTCTATCTGCCAATTGTAGAGTGATAGTTGTAGGCCTGGATGCACCCATGCCTAACTTCTTAAAGATAGATAAGAGCATAAGATTGATGCTAGACCCTAAGTCACATAATGCCTTTCCACTAAAAGAGTCTCCAATGTTGCATGGAATAGTGAAACTTCCTGGATCCTTCAGCTTAGGAGGGAGTTTGGCTTGGACTAACTGGCTACACTCTTGAGTGAGTGCTACCGTAGAAAATTCTCCCACTCTTTTTTTTGTAAGCATATCCTTCGTGAACTTTGAATAGTTTATCATTTTTTTCAATGGCTTCTATCAGAGGTATGTTGATATGAAGCTGCTTGAGTATCTCCATAAATTTTCCAAACTGTTGCTCTTCTTTTGCCTTCCTAATTCTTTGAGGAAAAGGAGGTGGTGGTATTTCTTGAACAAATTTCTTCTCTCTGTCCAGTTCTGGCATTACTACAGGTTGTTTTCCTGTTTGAGAAGTCTTTCCAGCTCTAGTGTTTTCAATGGTTTTTCAGTGTTCCCAACTGAGGTCGGTTCCTCATTGGATTCTTCCTTTTCTTCAGAAATATCCTACTCAGGTAGGACTCCTCTGGTCTCAACGCCCTTTGGTGAGGATACTTCACATTCCTTACCACTTTTTAACTTTATAACCTTGCAAGTTTCCATATTCTTTAATCCAATAGTTGTAGCTCAAGTTTCAGTAGCGCTAGGGAGTGTTTCCATAGGCCTTGAGCTCAAAGTAGTGGAGATTTTCCCTAGTTGGTTCTCCAGGTTTTTGATACTCACCCCTTGTGCTATAAACATATTTTTGGTCTCTTCAATAAATGATTTTAGAACATTCTCGAACTTGTTGTTGCCTTGATATATCATTGGGTACTTGGGAGCATCAAAACCAAGAAGAGCTTGGGGTTCTTGGGCAGCTTGAGCTTTCATTTGATCTTGGTTGATACTCCATGAATAGTTAGGGTGATTACGCCATCCTGGGTTGTAAGTGTTGCTGTAAGGGTTGTTGTTTCTGTTGTAAGTGTTACCACCATAGTTGACTGAAACAGGATTTGCTGGACACTCCTCAAATAGATGTACACCTCCACAATACACACAGGTAATTGTAGACGCGTATGTCACTACATTTACAGGATCCGGCTTAGGCACTTCTAGAGTAATCATTTTTTTCATCATTTGATGAATCTGAGCCACTTGAGCAACAAAAGGTGTAGTTTCTGTGACTTCATGGAATCCAGTGGTGGGCTTCTTTTGAGTAGTACTTGCAGTTGTTCTTACGACTGGCCATTGATAAGTCTTGTCTGTGATGCTCTCTATCAACCT